CGGTTATCTGGAGGAGAGAGGGGCTGAACAATTACTTCCTTTTGTAGAAGCACGACGTACAACACTTCTACTTGGAGTTTGATCATCATCATCATCACCATCAACATAACGGTGATCTTCATTTGTATGTTGTTCGAGGTTTTCACTTAATCTTTACATCATAATATTCAATTAGAACATAAAACAAAAATAAGCATAATATATATCATACATTTCCGATAAAACACTAACATCTCAAGTAAAGCACATACCAAATATAACTCTTAAAACATTTTCATATCTTTCTCTCTTGTTTCCCTCTCCTCTTCTAACATCCTCCTTTGTTCTTCTAATTACTTCTCAACATTCTCAATCTTTTGCCTTTGTGCATTAAATTCCGGGATTTTGGTACTTTTTCTTTGAGACCCAAAGAACGACCTTAAGCTGACACCTTATTCAACACCACGAACACGCTCACCATTCTCATCTATTCCGATAGCTTCTACTAATATGTCATGTCATGCTTCTGGAACAAATGTGCCTTCACGGGCCGCCTCAACCAACGTATCCTACACAACATGAGCAACTTACATATATTATTACCAACACATTTAAATAACAAATAACATAAGCAAAACAAATCATATTTACAATTTTCTCAGCAAATACTCTTGACACCTCATAGGTGTACTCTCCATTTGGTCTTAATCGAGCCCTCTTCCATTTCTCATGTCTTGACAGTGGAGATGGGATGCGATCATCTCCTATTTCTGGTTGTTTTTCAAGCATGATTTTTTCTCAAGTTTCCTGTAACCCCCACGAGACAATCTATGGGGGTACATGTTCTTTGCCTTATTTTGTATTCCTACTTTGCTTTTAACCTATTATTAACATAGTGAAAAATATATATGATTAGTATCTATAACTCATTAGCATAACATTATCGGTTACATAAGACTAGTGCTAACCTTGAATTCCTCAGAACGACGTATCTTCGCAAACTTATTCCATTGCTTCTTCGATATAAAACTATATTGAATCCATGGACGAGCAAGACCGCTCTTAGGCTTCCTAATGTAGTCAGCCGTGAGCTGTGACTTAAATCCCCTCCAACGAGTACCAGCATAAGATATCCACTTTTTTTTCTAACTTTTAGTCATCATTACACTCAAAATTCAACTAAATTTAAATCAATATTTAAGTATGTATTAGAAATTATAGGTAGTGATATCGAATATATGAAAATTATAGTATGTAATACCTTAACGTTTGTCCATATGCTTTCTTTGACTTTATCATCCACTTGTTTTTAATCATATATCAATATATTGACTTTGCTACGTGCAAGGAACACAACATAACTCTTGAAAGTAGAGTAATGTTCACAATCCACTACTCTGTAGAATGAATCAAACTCGGTCGGAATTTTTTCACCTGATGAGTTGTGGACTGATGTCAATTAGGGCATCATTGTGACACCTCTTTATGATCTTTTCGATTGAGTATCATTTGTTTGAGTTTCATTTGCACAACTCTCATTTGTTTGAGTTTATTTGCTAGTATCTGATGTAGAACTCGACAAGATCGACATCTATGTTCAAAAACAACAACATGAACAACAAGAACATAAACAACAACCACAATATAAACAACAACAACCACAACAATGGAAAATGAAGTTTATTGTAGATGCATGGGAAAAATATTTTACGTACCCTAAATGTGATTACTAAGTAAAGGATGTTGGTGTTGGTGTTGTCTTCCTCCTTACGACAACGACGGTATTGTTGTTGTCTTCCTTCTCAACGATGACAACTTGGTTGGGTACTCTTCCTTCTCGACATCACGATCGTGATGGTCTTGTCAACCTCCTTGACGATGATGACGAAAATGACAAATACACAGTGAAGAATGGATACTGAAGAGACAAACTAGGATGAACAATGGTGTTTTGGTTAAAATCGTGTATTGTTTTATAGTATTGAACGTTATGGTTTAAGGTTGAAAATAGGTATTGTTTTGTCTAGTTTCTATTTTCAATGGAAAAAAGGATACTGAAGATACAAGCTAACTAGGAGTGTATAATATTATAATGTTACCACCACGGTCAATACCAGCAACCGTTATGATATATTACTTTCATAATGAAATTTCATAAAGAAGCATCAGAGTTTAATTTACAATTAAAAATTTTAAATGAAAAAATATATCACAGCGGTGGAACTCATCAACCGTAGTCATAACCCTTTAAGTTTTTTATTTATAAATAAATAAAAAAGAAAAAATGCGTCTTAACATTAAAGGAATAATATATATGAGGACGCTGAGGTTCGAACCCATGAAAGCTTGATCGTATCACCACGGTTGGCTCCTCAACTGTTGTTATATACAAATAATTTTTAACCAAAAAACAAAAATAATATGATAGCGCCTTAGTTTAGAGATGTCACCACGGTGTTGGGAAGAACTGTGGTGACCGTGGCGTTGTTGTTTACGCGTTTTGTAGTAGTGCTTAGACGATATTTTCATCTTCACCTCCAACTGATCTATTTTGTATCTATTTAAATAGGACTTTGAAGATTGAAGAAGGTGACAAAGAGAGACATAATACGCGCATTAAACATCATCAACGCTCATACTTAGAAACAAATAAGAAGTGTTGCTTACACTTATACACTTAGAACAAAGATCGTTGTATATTTTTGTTAAGTGTAGAACTTGATTGTAAACTTGTGTATCTGCTTTTGAGAAGCATCTGTAAACACAAAACTCTTATTACAATTTTGATCGTAATCTTCAAGCGACCAGGTTAGGTCAGGCTCTTGAGAAGTCAGTAACAGATTGTTATTGAGAAATCTTCTTAAGCAACTAGGTCAGTCAAGTCTTAAGAAGTCAATGACCGTCAGTTTTCTTAGGAGACCAATTAGGTCAAATTCCTTAAGAAATTCGGAACAGGTTGTCACTGCATTTGTAATCAGTTGTGATTATTGTATTAAGTCTTTGTCGAAGGCAAATCACTCAGGTGGGTGGACTTGAGGTGGCCTTGTTAAGAGTGAAGCAGAATAATAATCCTTGTGTTTTGGTGGAAGCTTCCTCTTGATGATTGCTCTATACTCTTCCGTCAAAGCGATGTTTCCATCATGCTTTAACTTCTGTTTTTTCAATATGAGATCTTTCATGAACTTTGCATAAACAAACATCTATTCAAGGACTTGACTATTGTGGTGTGTTTTGTAGAAAATATGGGATGAGAGACACCCTATTTAAATAAGTTTTGGATCACTTTAGACCTTAGAAGCCTTATAATGTCATCAGGAAACTTTTCGGAGATTCATCTCCGGATACACCTTAATTTTTTACAAAAAAATGTGTTTACGGATATGCAAATCCGTAAAGTACTCTGATGTGTTTTTTTTAATTTAATATGGAGTGTATTCGAATATGCATATCCGGGATCACTCTAAACCAAAAGTTTACTAGAAACTGTGTAAACATACACATAAAATGTAAACTATAAAATTTGTAAACAAAAACCGTCGACATTTACATTATCATTGATGAATATATATTATATATATATTAAATTGTATCGAGTAATAAATGAAAAACAACATTTACACCATTAATGAAAAACACATAGTAAATGGATTTGTGATTGTTTTTGAAGATGCGTATCCAAATTCACTCTAAAATATTTCGCAAATACATCTCCGAATCAATTTTTGACAAAAAAAAAATAGAATGATTGTTTGATTTACGCAAAATAAAGTGATTTAAGGTATGATTGAAAATGCATTTGCATAAATACCTAAAAACAATTTTAAATTTTCAGAGGTGTGAGTCACACCTTAAAAATAAAAATAGAAATTGCCTCAATTTAAACTTCCCAAACATTTCCCAAGTGAGATTATTTCACGACATTTACTAGTAAAAACAAACTTGGGTTGGGAGAATTATAGCTTGGAACCCAGTTATTTAAACTTGAAACTCCACATTATTAGTACCTTTACTATAATACTTCTAAATTAATATTTTAACGATTAATATTGAGTTTTCAAAAAATATAATAATCATTTTTTAAAATTATAATTTATTTTTTAAAATCTATAATTTTATATCAAATGTTTAAAAAATCAATATAAAATCATTTTTTTTATACTAGATTTTTTTAATATTTGACATGAAATCATAGATTTTAAAAATAAATTATAATTTTATATCGATTTTCTAAAAAATACAAACTACTTTACAACAGATACTGAATTTATCAAAAAATTAGATAGTATTAATTTCATTTTTTTAAATAATTATCAAAAATAACAGCAAATATCCAATGCACCCATACATTTTATACCAATTATTTCAAAATTCATGATTTTATATTGGACTTTTAGAAAGAAAAAAAAAAACCAATAAAAATACATACCAAAATTTTTATATCACCTACCAAATTTTGTGCTTGAGAAAAAATTTACAGCGTCCTATTAATGAAAATAATAAGAAAAATATTCTAGGTATTTTGAAACTATTTGGGGGTATCAGGTATAATTTTGGGTGCCATGTAGAATCATCTCGTGTTGGCATTTCAAAAAAATAATAATAAGTAATTCATGATTTATATATAAATTCAATAACATATTCGTTGAAGTTGAAGGGGGAGAATAATTTTATATCAACAAGAACTAACGAGGTTAAGAAACAAAGAATGCATCCTCACTTGTATTGTATTGATAGAAAGGAATTCCTTGCGCATTCTAGAAGCAAGCACGTGCCAGATTATTTTTGATCCAACATGCTGAAATCTAGATTTCAGTTCTTGAAAAACATGCTAAATATCACCAATATGCTACCAAAACCTTGAGCATTTGTGGTTAGTAAGACTAAAAGCAAAAGAATAAATTACTTTCCATTTAGTAAACAACATCTGCTATGATCAGAGACTTGGTATCTATCGACGGCTATGAAGCATCTTGATAAAGAGACACTCCTCAAACAAGTATATTCAAAAACTTGAACTCATGCTATTGTGGAACACCTTCTCTTCTGTTTAGGTCTTCCAAACTTACATTTGCCTCAAGTCCCATGTCAAGTAAATCATTAAGCATTGCAAGAATATCAGATTTCAAAGAGGCTGCTAATGTCTGTCAGTAAAGCAGAAAAAACATGTTACTGTCTTAACAGAAATACAGTTGAACTAAAATGACAACTAAAACTTCTTTGCAATGAAATAGTGTATATACCTTTCTTTCCTCTTCTTGTTTGTGCTTAAGAACTTCCGAAGGCCACTCAGATACAAGTTTCTGAAGTTCATCCTTCATGCCTGATTTTTTGGCATCAGACAAAGTCTAGCAACAATGAAATCAATAAAACAAGGGTTAATAAAAAAGACTATCCAAAGACAGATAAGATATTCCACTAAGTTTGCAAAAAAGTCATTCATACCAACAATTATAATTAATTCTATGATTATAATTTCTTCACCTTGTAGAACTAATTTGACTCTAAAGTTTTTATACAAACAGCTATAATTTTTGCCACAATTTCACAACTGTTCTTATATAAACTGATTTGTACATTAACTAATGTTTACAGGGTAATACCTTGTGACTTCATCGCAAAATTATATTTCTATTTGAGAAGCATTTCTTTGTTTCAATCATTGGTGAAGAAATTTATCAGATTTTTTATAATTGCAAGCCCTAAAACATCCAGTTACACCCAAGATTCCATCAATATTTTAGCATAATACTGAAATAGCCCTTAGTTTCATATTAACTTTACAAACCCTATCTTTTCATATCTCAGTCTTACTCTTCGACTCTTTCACAAACAACCACTGAAGGAGAACAAACATGATGAAAGGTTAAAGGTTGTAGTAAAAAAACTTCTATTAATATTTCATCACGAAGGTAAGTGAACTTTTGAGTGATTTTCTGGGTCTTTTGGTTTTTTCTTCTGCATCTGTGAATTGTGCGTGAACTCGTTTTGCGTGTAATTACGTAAATTAAACTCCCGTAAACCTACGGGAAATGAATTCATGTAACTGAATAATTATTTTTTCTTTCTTAGCATATATAACATAAGTGGACATATTTTATTCCCTACGTTAATTTGGATTTCCTGGCATGTGAATGTGAATTTTGGAACCAAATGGTCGTGAATTTGCAATTAACGTATATTTAAGTGAAGTGGGTGTACGTTAGTTTAGTTCACGGATACCCCCATCATATAAAAAAAAAATATAGAACACCGAAAACTTGAAGAAAAAATGAAACAAAAAAATGGGCAGTCAAGAAGGGTTGGAATTCAAAAATGAGATGAAGAGAAAGACAAAGGAAGAGAAATATGAGAGGAAAATGAAGATAAGTTAGAAATTGGTGATGATTGAAAACTTTAGAAGAGAGCAGGGCTATTTTTGTTTAACAGGGGCGTAACCAGAAGAACTAATCAATTTTTAACATAGAAAAAAAGTAAACAGCATACACTCCATACCTGATTTAGAACTTGAATGATGGCAACGGCGTCACTAGGCTTACATTCCAACAGAAGACCCTAGAAAATCATAAAAACAGGCTTAGACATTCTATAAAAGTGGAACTCTTCTACAACAGAATCCAGCAAATGGGAAGTCAAAACACGTATCAGCATTGGGAATTTATATGATACAAATTAAGAAGCTTTTGTTTTATATTTCTTGGAAAAAAAACTTGAATCTTTAAAATTACAAATTGATGAATACAAAACATGTCAAAAAAGCAAAATGATTACGTGGAATATTTGCTCCAGAGTCTATGCTGTCTATTAAGCAAAACTTAGACACATCACACAATATGCTACACACAAAGCATATAAGCTTGGTACTAACAGCATTATAATCAAAATTAAATGTCAAATCAAACAATGGTGTGGATGGATTTTCTACCTTGGCACATGAAAACCCAGTTGCCAAAGTATGTGGCTTCAATGAATCCGATCGCAACTTTTCAATTTTCCATAATGACCCGGTGTCTCCTGCAAATAAGAAAATGAAAGGCTTAAACGATTAGTTCATCATTAGCAGAATCGATTTTAGAAAGCCCAAAAAATTATTTATATAGCATGATCTTGAAATCATATGATACTACTACATCTATTCATTGCCATCAAAATTATGAAGAGATTATTATTACAGTTGAAGCAATTCATCCCAAAAGAAATAAGGACAGAGCAAGACAAGAAACATAAGTCGGAAAGAAATCTTTCCCTAGCATGATTCCTCAATCAGAAATGCAAAAGTGCAAATCATTTGCCTAAATATATGATCTATTCCAGATCGATACACAAGGTAAGCACCTTCCTTTTAGGACCACCAAAAAAACTGTATGTAAAACAGAAGCAGTTATTTAAAAATTTTCAAATTCTGAATTTAAACTAGGGCTACCAAAAGGGCAACATTTGGAGAAAAATTGTGCAAGACTGATTCAAATGCAACAACCCCCAGAAAATACAATAATCAACAGTATAATCAAATTTAGGACTGATTTTATTTCAATTTCTTAAAAACTGAGAAAAAACAGCTTGCCAGCATTGGTGAGGATGCAAGTTAGAAGAGAGGGAAAAATCAAAATCTAGTAGAAAGTAGGCAAATTATTATCTCAATAAATTTATGGATAGCTTATGTTCAATATAGGAATCCACTTTGACAAACAACTGTTAAAACTCAATAGAAGCTCGCAAAATTAGGGAGATAAATGACGTCAAATCAAAAATAAAACTCAAACTATGTGCACCTCTTTTGGCGGCAAATTTCATCCATGTGTCAAATGAGGTTTGTCGTAGTTTTACACCAGCCATGACAAACCTTTTTGCATATTTATTAATAAGCTCCCACTCATCTGTGTTGTAACAAATGCTGCAAATTATTGTACCAGGTAACAGGTAAGAAGCATATACAGAAGAGAAAGAAAACAACATAAAAAGAAATGTGGGGATCATAATTTATGTTTAGTGTTAGACAACACAAAAATAAACCTTTAGATGCATAAAAAAGGATCATAATTTAGGGTTTCAGCTTCAAAAATTGGTTATTTTGGTACCAAATACTATATGTTATATTACAACGCATCTAAGCATTTTGCAAACTCCAAAAACCAAGCAAACTAACTGTATTGCAAATTTGAGGCCTTGCAAACAAAGAGGCACCAAGTTGCCTTCATACAATCAAACAGTTTTGGGGGACTAACAATAAAGCAGGATTTGAAATGCATGCATCCCAGCCAGCAACAAAGGGAACAACAATTATATCAATTACAAATTGTGCAATTTTTTAAGAGGAAATGTCATGTTCAAATTTTAAAAAGTACTTTTCTACAGAAAACTTTGTATTGTGAAACAAAATATTGAAAAAGATAAATTGATAAATTACCTGAAAACTATATCTGCCGTGCCCGGTTGCAATGGTAAATCATTCCTCTTCAAAAGTCTCATTACTTCCTCCAACAGTTTAATATCATTGTTGTTCTTAGCAAACAACTGCAATAAATTGATAGTAGCTTACCAATTGCAAACAGGAGATAGAATCAAAGAAATCAGGACATTTGTACGTCTAAGTATACCAGCAAATGGTGTGCAGAAGCAACACTCGGTGCCAATCCATAGACATTATGCTTCCACAAAGCCTTCGTTCCTGCTCGCACATTTAAGCCAGATAACCTCAAAATTTCATTTCATATCTTCGAATTTGACAAATGAAACAACACAGATTTATATCAGACAAAGTGGACGTGCAAATAAAGCATACCAAAATCAAGAGCTCCGGCATGAACACAAGCTTTAGTGACTTCACGGCAGAGATTGCAGTTAAAATTGTCATGTATGCGAAGGTTTGACAACCTCTGCTCACCAAATAGATTAAATTCATCACCATAGCAAAGAGAGCGAATCAATAAACCATTAGTTGAAAATAAAGAGGTGAGAGGGGAAGAAAATAGAAACTAACAAATCTGCGGAGGTTCTGCAAAATGTCAAAGAGAAGACTAATATCGTGATGGTGTTTGCAATTAGCAATCATTGACCACAACCAAGCATTTGGAGGCATGGATCGTTTAACATTTACAGACTGAAGCATTTTATCATAAAGATCCTTCACAGCTTCTACATTTAAAATTCAACAATACAAATCAGTAAACATCACAAAAATGAAATTCGAAAAGGGAATTTCCAGTTCACAATTGAATGAGGAACCTGTTGGAGTCCCTTCTACATTATCAGCTACAGAACTGTAAAAAGCCTTTGACGCGAAGAAATTCAATGGTTCAGACTTCACTTGCTGGTAATTACATTGTGTGAGCCCTGAGAGAATCGGTTCTTCGGTGCTTCGAAGATGAGACGAAAGGAAAATCGGAGATTGCAAGAGCCGAGAGACTCGGCGAGCATTTGACACCACTTGCATGGCTCAATGTGAAAAGGACTGAGTTACAACTCAGATGTCTTTTCCGCGCAAACTCGGTAGATTTAGGACCTGTTTGGATAAACAGCTTATTTAATCACTTATCACATAGAGTTTATTCGCATGAGAGCATATGTTGGATAAGCTATTTGTGTTTAGAAGTGTACTTTGAAAAGTGTTTATACAAAAAATAAGTGTTAAGATGTATTATATTTTTTATTCAAAAGCTCATATAGCTGATCATATAGCAAATTGTACAAAGACAGGTATAAATAACAGTATGGTTCCAGTGAAAACAGAAACCAGTGAACCAGTGAAAACATTAGCAATTATAAGCTTCCATTTATTTACTATAAACGCCAGAAACTAGTGAAAACATTAGGCAATACACATGGTTCAACAAAATCACTCCAAAACAATCAAGCATTTTATCAAACAGCTTGCGCGCAGAGATGATGAGTGTTGAATTGATATTAAAAATATAGTTGACAGTGACACACGTGAACAGGAAATCGAAAATACAAGGAACAAGAGCGAAAATTACAACAATGAAATCCACCCAAAATACCTGGATTCAGGCAAAAGAACGAAGACAGGAGTCGCTAGCGTTTCGGGTCGGGTTGGCGAAGCTCCGTGTTTTGTTTTGCCTACATGCTGAAACCTACTTTTATCAAAAGCTTCTTAACATATTGTTTGTTTGAGATGGAAGTAAGTGGAAAGAAACTTAAAGAAGAGAAAACACAAGTTCCGAGAAAATTTTCATTGTTTGGAAGCTATAAAAAAATTAAAAAGAAGTTGAATGTGGGACCTTCTTTTCTGCTCGCACGTTTAAGTCATGTATCTCAATTCAACAGTTGTAGATAAAGCATTGTTCTTGCTCATCATAAGACAAAATGTCTTTCGTTTTGGAAAAGGTTTTTAGGTTATGCCAAAAGACAAAAAGATTTGGATGTATTTGATGTGTTTTAGAGTTAATGAGAGAGTTCAGACGAGCGAGAACTACATCTCGTGTCCTTACTCTCGAGAAACCGTTGACTATACCCCGCTCCTTTTTCGTCTTTATTATCAAAAGGTGTTTAAGTATTTTTAGATGTTTTGAGGTTTTGATTGGAAAAAACGGCTTGATGTTGGATCAAACTTTTATTCATGATTATGAAATTGTTTGAAGTGGTTGGAAGTTTTGAAAATGGTTTGATTGTGAAGTGGAAATGGTTGATGACGATGCACGAAGCAATCGATTTACAAGTTGGATGTGGCTTGGTGGTTTTTAAAAGGGATTTTGGTGGTGGAATGAAGTTGAATGGTGACAAATTGGTGTTGACCATTGTTTTTGAAAATGAAACTTGTGTTGACCAAGATCTTTAATTTTTTAAAAGATTGGTTTTATATTTTTTTTTATCTAATTAACTAATTTCTACCTAAATAAGAACAACACAAACAAAAGAATAATACAGTTACACACAAGGGTGGAGATACACTTTTTACAATTGGAAAATGATCTTACCAAACTATCAGAATTTGATATGGGCCAAAGACGGACGTCTGTGATGCTGGATGTAAAAGAGGAGGAGGGGGTGTACCTGCAAGGCACTCCGATGGTAAAGTAAGAAAACGAGCAAGAGAGCGAGCAAGTACAGAATATGTGTTTTTAGGTAAGAAATTGGATATCTGGCCCTCTCAAGTGAGAGAGTTTTTATAGTGCCCCCAGCGCTTGGCCATTGGTCCCTATTTTCGAGGCGAGATAATTGTTTCCTGAAGAATAGGTAACTGCCAAAAATAGCCATTGAGACGGGCAGACGTGCCCATAACTAGTCGTTGTGACGAGCAGAGGCAGAGTTACGGGCACAAACGTCTTGGTTATTTCTGGATGGTGGAACCATGCGTGACGGGCAGAGATGGACGGGGAGAGGTGTTGTGACCAATGGTAAATAGGTCAGCTTCCCCTGTTGGAGGGGAAGAAAGGTAAACTCTCCCTCTACGAGATTAGGCTTAGGCAATTTGAGTTGTTCTGGGAGCAGGAGTGGATTGGGTCATATCTAGCCATTGGGTCAGTCCGGAGCAGTAGCCCCCCAAGTCGTTGCTATCGGGCATGGTAATGATGACTTAAGGAAGCCCAACGGTTTATGGGATGTGAATAGTGGGGATGCCATGTGTGCCTCGAGTCGTGTGCTGCATTAAATGCGAGATGATAGCTAGGCTAGGGTCATGATGATGCCCTATGCGCGCGTGTTCGCGCACATGCCTGGAGTCTGCTTATAAATAGCGAAGGAGTCCTTTCATTCAGAACTTTTACTTCCTTCTTCCATTGTGCTCGTTTCTGCAATCGTCGTCCGCCACCGTCTACTTTGCTCCGACCACTGTACGGGGTTCGACGAGGACCGCATCCTCTCCAGTTCATCTTCCTCAACCACGTAAGTACTTCTATCCATTGCTTGTTTTCTGTTTTTCTTTTTTTAAGAGCTTTAGATTGCATGTGGTTAGGATTGAATATCTTAGTTAGGGTGTATTCAATGGTGGTGTCAATGGTAGATGGTGGCGCGACCATCTGTCCGCCGGCGGCGGCATAGTCGGCCTCCACTAGGGTGTAGGTTACCACCCTTTAGATTCAGGTGATCCGTAGTCGCGTTGTTGTTAGGTTACCATGACTTCTAGTGGTTTCCATAAGAGGCCACTAGGTTTTGTGATCGGGGGCTATCCCTGAATGTCTTAGGTAGAACGGTCGGGGACTTCCCCATCTGGGTAGCTGCGCCATTTAAGTAGGGCTTAGGTCGGGGATGCTCTTCCTCGGTCCTTCATGCGCCCTTTCACTTGACTAGCAGTGGAAGGGTGGATTTGATTTGGCCATCGAATTCACTGTTTTCCTCTGCTTTTCAGATAAAAGGGATGTTGCGCAGGAAAGGAGAAGATTGCTACAGGGATTCATCAGAGGACAGCTCCTCAGAGAGCACAAATACATATGACAGTTTTTCGTCGCCTGAGATTGTGGGGACATCAATGGTGTTATCGCTGGCGGATGAATGGACCATGGTCGATGGAGCACGCGTCCATCTTTGCCTCTTATACCAGAGATGCCTTTACGAAGGTGGGACCAGAAGGAGAATGAAGGGTGCATTTCCCTTCTGGAGAAGATCGCATCTGCTCGGCTTACGGGGAGCGCTTCCCCATGTATGAATACGTCTTCAAGGAGATAGGGTTAAGATTGCCCTTCACCGATTTTCAACGGGCTATCTTTGCCCATATTGATATGGCGCCTTCACAGCTGCATCCGAACTCCCTTGCCATCATGCGGGCATATGAGTTGGTATGCGAGCACCTGCAGACCGGTGCCACCCTTCCACTATTTTTCACCATTTTCCATCTTCAGCAACAAGTGTCGGGGAAGAGGTTTTGATGGGTTTTCTTGAAGGAAAGAAGGAAAATGTTCAAAACTTTCTCTGAATCCATCTGGACATTCAAGGAAAGGTTTTTTGTGATCGAGCCGGTGTCAGAGGCAGCCACTGATTTGACGTTTGTCTGAGAGGTCTCCACGAATGAGAATAGGGAGAATTTGTTAGACGAGGAGGGCAAGATAGTCACCCGAAGGCTTTTTACTTTCCCCTTCTGCTGGAGCGGGGCTCATTTTTCCCGCCCGATGATGAGTATATAGTCGTCCCTCACCAACTCGCGGAGGACAACAGGGTCAGCTATGCCAAGTTGGTGGCCTACGTGGATAGCTTCCTCCTTGCCCAGTGCGTGACTCGCACAGGGCGACCTTTGTACGAGGAAGACGGTGGGCTGCAGGTGGAAGCCTGATACATCAACACAAAGGAGTTCCTTGAGTGTCGTACTTGCGAGGAGGCTCTTGAGCTCTTAGGTAGTTGTCACTTTTCTTACATTCTTCCTGAAATCTTTATCTTTTCGTGCTTATGTGTTTATTATTTTGCAGGTAAAATGCCTTCGGCGCAAGAACGGATGGCGAAACATGCCCTGGGGAAGATGAAAAGTGGTGCCGCCCTAGGCAAGAGTCGTCTTAGCCAGTGGACGGTTCCTCCCACAACTGGCTCGGGGACCTCCTCTTCTACTCCCCGTCTACCCAAACATCGTCGCTGCCATAAGTTCCAGGCCCAAACGTCCTCAGCCGGACGAGGTTTTGGACCTCATTCAGGAGTCTGGTAAGAGTAAGTATGAGCTTCCCCTGTTTTCTCGAGAGGAGGTTTTTCGAAGGGGCCTCCCTATCTGTTCCTCGAGCGGAGTCTCTGAGACTCGAGGAAATGGATTGTCCTACTAAGAGGGCCAGTCTCACCCAAGACGCCTCTGCCTTAATGAGGATCTTAGAGATGGTCGTGGTCTATGCCGAGGAGAGCTCCCCTTGGAGCTGGAGTTAAAGAGATCTCAGGCCTCAGTGACGCCCCTGTTTAATCTTCTTAGACCTGAAGGTATGAATAGCAAAGACTTTTAGACATTCGAGGTATAAGAGGATTAAACATCAGAGTCCCTAGAGTTTTGACCGTGAATGCAGATGAAATGATATGTAATGTAATGTTATGAAAGACTTTGAACACTATAGGGAATGATAACACAGACCAACAAGACATAGTTTTACTGGGGATGCAAGATATTGTGGAATTTTGTTGAGGTGACAAAGAGTATTCAGCAGTTCTTGAAAAGAGAGGGATAAACCCTGGAACAAATATACAGACATCTAGAAAAGCATCAAATGCAAAAGAAGTATCACACTCTGGAAAACATATCAGAAACATCTAGAAAAGCATTAGATGTGGAATGAGACCAGATTTCAGGATATGTTAGAGACATCCAAGAAAGCAATTTAACTTTACTCTGGAATACACGAGAACATCCAGAAAGCAAAAGCAAATTTACTGAGGAAAAGGTTACAGTCATCAGAAGTTTTCAGAAATGCATTGAACAACCTTGGAAAAGTGAAGTAACAACCGTAAAAGACATTCAGGAGAGCATTGAATGAAACTTTAGAACATAAGCAGACATGAGCATCAGAGACATTC